GTTTGAAATAAAAATGAACTGAAGTATTTTAATGAGACGTAAAGACATAAATATTTGACAACTAAAATTTTAAACACTATTTTCTTCTTTTCACTTGAGTACCTTGTGATACACATCACTACGGCAACAATGATGGCGATCTGCACAGCACCGATGATGGCGGCGATCAGGACGTAGTGCAGCTTCTGTCCACTGGGGACCACGTAGAGGATGTTGAAGTCCTGAGGCTCGTCACACTGAGGACCTTTGTATCCTGCGTCACATCTGAGTCGGACACACAACACGACTGTGTGATGTCACATGTTACACACTTTTTGTTTCATGATTTAAACTTTGACATTTCGTACTTTTACCACCACACTTCTGATGAAATCCATTAACTTTAACTCATTTTTATGTATTTGTTTGAAACGTTTGCAGCAGAGGCCGCTACAAACCTGCAGGTGGCCATGTTGTACTTGTTGATCTCACATTTCCCGTGAACGCAGAAGCCGGAGAAGCTGTCGGCACACGGGATCGACATTCCCGGGTAGAAACCTTCTCCGTGATCCACAATCCTGGTGTCTGAAAGGAAGAAACGAGAAATCAGAGACACGAGGTGAGAACAATAAAGAGATTTTTATTATTGATTCACATTTTATTACATATTGATTTATAGTTTCTGTATCAAACACAAATCTTTACCACAATGCTGATAATGATTTGTTAGATTTTCCTTTGTAAGCTTTTCATTTTCTTTAGTTTCTTCACTTTTTTCTATATTTAACGGAACAAATCTTCTTCCTGATCTCACAGCAGTTTGTGAAACAGTCACAACCTGTAATCTGTTGATGTGTTTCTGGACGGCGACCTTTAACACGGCGTTTAATCTTACAGGTCTACAAGTGTGAGTGATTTTCCATTTTAAAAGGCAAAAGCAGTTTGTATCAGGAGCTCGGAGGGATGGTGGTAGAGACCCACGATCACACACGTCACAGATTTTCACACATCGTTTAAACGCTTTATAAAGAGGCTCATAATCAGCAGCCTGTCACCTGGTTTGGCTCAAGTTAGTGTGACAGGTTGAAGGACTACTGCATGTAAAACTGTTCAGTTAATACTAATTCATATCAGTTGATATAAGGACAAAAATGATGTAAATATGGTAAGAAAATGGTTAAGAGTTTATTATTTTTCATGTTATATTAATGGCTTTCATGTTACTTAAGAGAACTGCAATCTATACATCAGTGATCGGCTAGTAAGCCTTTTCTGGGATCGATTAGTAGTGTCTCTATTATCCACTAGGGGGCTTTCGCACGTTCTCCTCACTGCAATAAACTACTGTATGAGAGACGCAAGTCATAATCACTCTCGTGATTCTTTTCCCCCTGTTTTCAGGGGTGTAACATTAAACGGTTTGTTTGGGGTTTGAAAAAGCCACGTTTATTTTAAAGCTTCGTTTGAGCCTCCCCACTGGCTCAACCGCAGATTTGTGCTTCTCACATAAAGATTCTGACATTTGTGTGAAATAAAGAGGAGACAATAGATTCACTAGATGATGATTTAAAGAGCTGAGACTGGGCTGCTGTGACAGTGATTTCCCATCTTTGGGATAAATAAAGCACATCTTACTTTATTTGATCTTATATCTTAATTTTGTAAAGATATATTTGGTCATTTGAACACACAGACACGTTTCACTGAGTTTGACGTCGCTCATCTTACATTCAATTAACGAACATTATTAATATAATAACAATATTCTGTTGTTTTTTAATGTTAAAGCTAAATTTGGTAAAAGCAGATCTACATTTTCTGCTCCTAATAATAATAATAATAAATGAAGCGCCACAAACTGAGTCATCTCCTGAGCTGCAGCGCTGTGCGAGCGCATAAATCCTAATAAGTCACACAGATGTGTCTCTTCGTGCGATGATTCACTGCAGTCTTGGAGAAAAAGCTGACGAAGCAAACTGTGCTGCTCATTCAAGTGACTGAAACGTTATACACCAAATCCACATTAACATGAAGGAAGCTGTTAACAAGAAGCCGCCTGTGTGTGCGTGTCACCGATTTTAAATTCTGCTGTTCGCCATGTTTACGACGGCCGCGATGACGTCTGAGCGCTGAAACGTTCGAACGAGATTATAGGACAGAAGTCGGGACAGAAACCTGTTGGTTCACCGACAGTTTTGCAACCTTTTCAATTTAACGGCGACATGTTACTATAAACCTGAGCTACTCTAGTTCTTATCATTGAATGATAAAAATGGGACTGGAGTACTTCATGCTGTTACTGTCACTGCTTTAGCTTTTTGTAACTAGACATCACAGCAGAAACCAAAGGACACTCTAGAGCGGTCCAAATTCATGGGCTGCATCCTCCTGAGGACCCGGCCTTCGCGGTCTACGTGGGCCGGGTCCTCAGAAGGTCGGGTAGGCCGGAAGTAAACGGC